AAAAACAAAAAAAAACTATTCTTCTAATATCTATTTATTACTCATCAAATTAAAATTTTCAACGTATTAACAATTTATATATATTTAAAAAAAACTAAATGAAAAACAACCGAAAGTTAACTTTTGTTACCGTTGCGAAATAACAGGCGTTCTTTCTTCCCCTATTCTCTCAACGTTCACTCATGCTAGAGGTGGGCATTGGTTTGGTTTTTCGGTTTTATGGTTTATCAGTTTTTTTTTTGGTCAAAAGGTTTATCAATTTTTTTTCAGTTTGGTTATAGTTAGATTTCTTCAGTTTTTCGGTTTTGCAAAAAAAAAAAAACCATATATAAACCGTTTGTATTTCAGTTCGGATTAGTTTCGGTCAATGTTCTAAAACGGGGGCTAGGCAGGTGCCTAGGCGGCGCCCAGGCGCTACGCGGATGTTGGACGCCCCGATTTTAGGCTATTCGGTGATTTATGCGGTTCTTAAAAATGCAGATGTTTATGCGGTCTAGACGGGCGTTTATGCGGTCTAGGCAGACGATTACGTGGTCTAGGCGGATATTAGGCGGCCATATACTTTTTTTTTTTTAATCACAATTTTTTTATTATATTATAAAATAAAATTGTTTATCATAATCAATATTTATTTGTAGCCTCTAAGGATTAAGTCTTTTAGTTAAATTCATTTTAAAAATAAATGTAGACATTATATCTTTTATATTTGTATATATTTTATAAGACTTTTAATTTACATTTTAAGGTTATATACTTATATGTATATTTAAAACAAACTACATGTTCGTCTACATAAGAATTTACTCAATTTAATATTTGAGACTTCTCATTTCTAAATATAAAATATATTCAGGTTTATTCATTGTATATACAATATATTGTATATATATATCATTTTTATACATATATATATATATATCTAAAAAATAATTATCCGCCTAGGCCCCGTCTATACTCCCGCGTATACGCCTCCTTTCGGTTTCGGTTTATATCTATTTATTTCATGATATTCGAAAAAACAATGAATATAAAATCAAAATTATCAAAAATTTTACATAAATATGAATAAACGAACAAAAAT